CAAGCTGCTGGAATGGAGTGGTGGTGTGGTGCTAGGTGATGGTGAGGAAATGGTGTAAGAATCAAATGGTTTTTTAAGGCTTAGAGTAGAGAGAGAGAGAGAGATTTAATGTGAGAGCTCCAAACCAAAATTTTCTAACCCCCTAAAAGGCTCGGCTATTCTAAACATGGCATATGAAATGCTACAGCTAACATGTATTCAACTTGGAATTGAAAATACAATACAGTTAGTATGATGCGCCGAGCCCGGTGCATGCAAAACAGATGAATGAATGCAAACATGCTATCATACTGTATGCTAATTAAAACATGCCCTAATCTAACCATCATAAGCGGGTAAATAAAAGGGAGAAAGACGTGGGGTTGGAAGACATACATCACACACACGCACACTTATTACAACATTGCCCTCGCGCAGAGGGTCCGAATAAATAATATACAGTCCCAAATAAATAGTACAGTCCAAATAAATAATACAATCCAAATATGTACAGAATCCAAATTAAATAACAAATTTAACTAGGAAAGCATTAAATTGGCATGCAAGCCAGGGACTGCCTCGACTCTGCTTCGGATGATGAATGATGCATGTCCGAGTTACTTTGTGCAGAAATCCACTGCGATGCCCCGGTTTGCCTCTGTTTGCAATTGTTCTTGGAATACGTGCCAAGTTCCAGGAAGCTGTCGATTTCTGATTTGCTGCAACAGAGAGCAACAAAGGGGCATGGCAAAGTATTTTCACATATGTATGCATGACTACTCTTCAGGGAGTGTAGTCCTCGATCCTCGTGCCACCAATCACGCATATCGATGTATGATGGCCGAGGAGTCGAATTACACGACTCAATATGAAATGACTGCACATATAGACACAACAAAACCTAAACTCCATCATGGATTATCCGGAATGTCGGTGACTGGGATTTGAGACATGTTCCGTCACTCGAAGTACGAAATGTCCCTCGTTTCCCGTGCTCGGGCTAACTCTTATCCCAAACACAATGCGATATGCATGACATGCATGAATGCAATCCTAACATGCGACCTAGCATACACAATGCTATGAAATGGCATACACGATGCACGAGGTAACATGGCAAACACAATGCGCTAACACACGGCCTAGCATACACAATGCTATGAAATGAAATGGCATACACAATGCAATATGGGCTTACACCAACGTGAGTGGACCTCAGCCACACTCACATTAGTAGCCATTAGATGAAAATGAGTTACTCGAAATGCGTGCACACGTGCACGCAAACTGAGGACCGACCTTAAGGCACCAAATGCCACTCTAACAAGACATGGCAAGGCATGGAATATGGCATACTAGCATGCAAATTTCAGTAGCAAAATACGATGCGAAATGATTCCAAAACATTGAAACATGGCACCCGATGCATGGAATGAGACCTGAAACATGGAATTAGGTGCATGAAATGACCTATGGCTATGCAAAGCATGCATTATTCGAACATGAAGTGTGAAGAAAGAATCAAGACAATCTCAAAACAAGCATATTTATAGTTTTAAGTAAGGCCAAACAATGGACACAAATTGGGCTAAGTTAGCATGCAAAAATGGCCCCAAAAGAGAGATAATGAAGCAAGTAGCAGCTGATGGCCCTGAATGTCCAAGAGCCCTTCAACAAAGTTGAAGAGGGGCTCAAAATGAAGCACTTTACAGTTTTTAACAAGCCACGAAAACAAACACAAGTATGGCTAAACTATTGTGCAAGAAATGGGCCAAAAGGGAGACAAAGAAGCAAGTGATGGTTACTGG